GGTCAGAGTCAAGTATGACGCCAAAACAGCGCGCTTGCAAGGATGGACTTAAGTAGATACCACTAACTTGAAGGGAGAGCAAAAGCGGAGGATCAGTTTTAGAAGGAGGAAAGACAAAGAGCTCAGTTTTAGAGAGATTTAGTTTCAGAAAGTGGGAGGACATCCAGTCAGAGATGGAAGATAGACAAGCAGTGACACGTTGCAGGACGGCAGGGGAAAGGCCCGGGGAGGAGAGATATACCTGGGTGTCCTCAGCGTACAGGCGGTAGTGGAATCCAAAAGAGGTAAAAGGTTTGCCAAGAGAGGCAGTATAAAGAGAAAAAAGAAGGGGATCAAGGACCCCAACCCCTTGGGGGACCCCAACCGAGACAGGACAAGGGGAGGAGGTGTCATTAGAAAAGGAGACGTTGAATGAGCATTGGGAGAGATAAGAGGAAAACCACGAGAGGACAGAGTCACAGAGACCAAGTGATTGAAGAGTTCAATTAGGTGAGCATGATCAACGGTGTCAAAGGCAGCAGAGAGGTCAAGAAGAATTAGTATGGAGTAGTGGCCTTTGGATTTAGCTGCGATTACGTTGTTAGTAAGAAACATAGAAACATAGAATGTGACGGCATATAAGAACCATTCGGCTCATCTAGTCTGCCCAATTTTCTAAATACTTTCATTAGTCCCTGGCCTTATCTTATAGTTAGGATAGCCTTTTGCCTATCCCACACATGCTTAAACTCCTTTACTGTGTTAACCTCTACTACTTCAGCTGGAAGGCTTTTCCATTCATCCACTACCCTCTCAGTAAAGTAATACTTCCTGATATTATTTTTAAACCTTTGTCCCTCTAAATTAAGAGTATGTCCTCTTGTTGTAGTAGTTTTTCTTCTTTTAAATATAGTCTCCTCCTTTACTGTGTTGATTCCCTTTATGTATTTAAATGTTTCTATCATATCCCCCCTGTCTCGTCTTTCCAAGATATACATGTTAAGATCCTTTAACCTTTCCTGGTAAGTTTTATCCTGCAATCCATGAACCAGTTTAGTAGCCCTTCTCTGAACTCTCTCCAATGTATCAATATCCTTCTGAAGATATGGTCTCCAGTACAAATACTCGAAGTGAGGTCTCACAGGTGTTCTGTACAATGGCATGAGCACTTCCCTCTTTCTACTGCTAATACCTCTCCCTATACAACCAAGCATTCTGTTAGCATTTCCTGCTGCTCTATTACATTGTCTGCCTACCTTTAAGTCATCAGAAATAATACATATCGTACCATCAATACATATCACTAATAAAAATATTAAAGAGAATGGGTCCAAGTACAGATCCCTGAGTTACCCCACTGGTGACAAGAGCAAGCTTCGAATATACTCCATTGACTACAACCCTCTGTTGCCTGTCACTCAGCCACTGCCTTACCCATTCAACAATATTGGAATCCAAACTTAAAGATTGCAGTTTATTGATAAGCATTCTATGTGCAACAGTTTCAAAAGCCTTACTGAAATCTTGGTAAGCAATGTCTACTGCACCACCCTGATCTATCATTTTAGTTACCCAATCAAAAAAATCAATAAGATTAGTTTGGCATGATCTCCCTGAAGTAAACCCATGTTGTCTCTGATCTTGAAATCCGTGTGTTTTAGATGTTCAATAATATTATCCTTTAACATGGTTTCCATAACTTTCCCCACTACTGAAGTAAGGCTTACTGGCCTATAGTTGCCCGACTCCTCCCTATTACCTTTCTTGTGAATGGGCACAACATTCGCTAACTTCCAATCTTCTGGGACTACTCCTGTTAACAATGATTGGTTAAATACAGGGAGTGCAGAATTATTAGGCAAGTTGTATTTTTGAGGATTAATTTTATTATTGAACAACAACCATGTTCTCAATGAACCCAAAAAACTCATTAATATCAAAGCTGAATATTTTTGGAAGTAGTTTTTAGTTTGTTTTTAGTTATAGCTATGTTAGGGGGATATCTGTGTGTGCAGGTGACTATTACTGTGCATAATTATTAGGCAACTTAACAAAAAACAAATATATACCCATTTCAATTATTTATTATTACCAGTGAAACCAATATAACATCTCAACATTCACAAATATACATTTCTGACATTCAAAAACAAAACAAAAACAAATCAGTGACCAATATAGCCACCCTTCTTTGCAAGGACACTCAAAAGCCTGCCATCCATGGATTCTGTCAGTGTTTTGATCTGTTCACCATCAACATTGCGTGCAGCAGCAACCACAGCCTCCCAGACACTGTTCAGAGAGGTGTACTGTTTTCCCTCCTTGTAAATCTCACATTTGATGATGGACCACAGGTTCTCAATGGGGTTCAGATCAGGTGAACAAGGAGGCCATGTCATTAGATTTTCTTCTTTTATACCCTTTCTTGCCAGCCACGCTGTGGAGTACTTGGACGCGTGTGATGGAGCATTGTCCTGCATGAAAATCATGTTTTTCTTGAAGGATGCAGACTTCTTCCTGTACCACTGCTTGAAGAAGGTGTCTTCCAGGAACTGGCAGTAGGACTGGGAGTTGAGCTTGACTCCATCCTCAACCCGAAAAGGCCCCACAAGCTCATCTTTGATGATACCAGCCCAAACCAGTACTCCACCTCCACCTTGCTGGCGTCTGAGTCGGACTGGAGCTCTCTGCCCTTTACCAATCCAGCCACGGGCCCATCCATCTGGCCCATCAAGACTCACTCTCATTTCATCAGTCCATAAAACCTTAGAAAAATCAGTCTTGAGATATTTCTTGGCCCAGTCTTGACGTTTCAGCTTGTGTGTCTTGTTCAGTGGTGGTCGTCTTTCAGCCTTTCTTACCTTGGCCATGTCTCTGAGTATTGCACACCTTGTGCTTTTGGGCACTCCAGTGATGTTGCAGCTCTGAAATATGGCCAAACTGGTGGCAAGTGGCATCGTGGCAGCTGCACGCTTGACTTTTCTCAGTTCATGGGCAGTTATTTTGCGCCTTGGTTTTTCCACACGCTTCTTGCGACCCTGTTGACTATTTTGAATGAAACGCTTGATTGTTCGATGATCACGCTTCAGAAGCTTTGCAATTTTAAGAGTGCTGCATCCCTCTGCAAGATATCTCACTATTTTTGACTTTTCTGAGCCTGTCAAGTCCTTCTTTTGACCCATTTTGCCAAAGGAAAGGAAGTTGCCTAATAATTATGCACACCTGATATAGGGTGTTGATGTCATTAGACCACACCCCTTCTCATTACAGAGATGCACATCACCTAATATGCTTAATTGGTAGTAGGCTTTTGAGCCTATACAGCTTGGAGTAAGACAACATGCATAAAGAGGATGATGTGGTCAAAATACTAATTTGCCTAATAATTCTGCACTCCCTGTAAATCTGTTAATGGTTTTGCTAGTACACCACTAGTAACTTTGATAAGAGCAGTCTCAGTAGAGTGGAGAGGGCGGAAGCCAGATTGAAGAGGGTTAAGGAGAGAGTTGGAATTGAGGAAGTGAGACACACGGGCAAAGACAAGTCTTTCCAGAAGTTTTGAGGAAAAAGGTATTACAGTGGCATGTTTAAGGCCATCAGGGACAAAGCCAGAAGATAGAAAGCAGTTGAAGATGTGTGTTAAGGAAGGCACAAGACAAAGGGAGAGATCTGATGAGGTGAGCTGGGATAGGATCGAGCGGGCAAGTGGTGGGGCGAGAGGAAAGGAGAAGCTCAGCCACCTCTTGTTCAGTAGCAGGGATAAAGACTGAAGGGTAGGAATGGCATAATCTACGTGTGGTTGAAAAAGAGAACAGCAAGTTGGGGAGAATTCTTTCCTTAGCTGTCCAATCTTGTCTGTAAAGTAGCATGCAAAGCTGTCGGCTGTAAGGATAGTTTGAGGGGTGGCCACAGCTGGGCAAAGAAGAGAGTAAAAGGTGTCAAAGAGACGCCAGGGATTGTGGGAGAATGAACTAATGAGAGAGGAAAAGTATGACTGTTTGTCGAGGGCAAGGGATGCACTGTATGAACACAATATGAATCAATAATGGAGAAAGTCTGACTGGGTGAGAGACTTCATCTAGTAGCGTTCAGCACAACGGGAGCAACTTTGCAGGTGGCGCGTTGATTTAGTATGCCACGGTTGGGGCCGTGTCCTTCTCGAGGTGCATGTTTGGAGCGGGCTGCAGCGTTCAAGGCTGAGGTGAGGATAGTGTTATATGTGGAGATGGCCAGTGAGGGACAGGAGAGGGAAGGGATGGACAGTAGTTGTGAATCAATATCAGCTGACAGCTGCTGGAGGTCAACAGAATTATTGTCAGCTGCATGGGTGGGAGAATTAGCCCACTGTGATAGCCCAATGGAGGAAGTAATTGAAAGTAGTTTAGAGGCTGCTGAAGTCAAAGGTGGGTTAATGGGAATATTGAAGTCCCTGAGAATTAGAATTAGAATATTAGAAGAGTGGAAGTAGGGTAGCCATGCAGCAAAGTGGTCAATGAAGAGGAGAGGGGAACCAGGGGTTGATTAATAATGGCAATGTTAGCAGAGAAGGGTTTGAAAAGGTGAATTGAATGGATTTAAAATGATGGGAAAGAGAGGGAAGGGGGGGTGGGCAGAGTTTAAAAGGAGCAGTGGGGGAAAAGCAGAAATCCTACACTGCCACCTTTAATCTCAGCTTGTCTTGGGTTGTGGTTAAAGTGAAGACCACCAAAGGACAGTGAGGCAGGGGTAGAAGTAAAAGAGGGAGAGAGCCATGTTTCCATTAGTAGGTTTAAGGAGTGTGAGATAAATAGGTCATGGATGAAAGTTGATAAAACAGTGCTGCACACAGAGCGTGCATTCCAGGGGGCAGCTTTAAAGGAGGAATTATAGTGAGATTTACTTGGAATGGATATGAGAATGTTGTGGTTTCTGGTGTTAGCATCAGGTGGCTTAGTAGAGCATGGACCAGGGTCTGGAGAGACATCACCAGCTGCCAGGAAGGAAGGTGGGAGTAAGATTTAAATGTTTGGGATGGGAGCTTGTATTTAGAGGATTTAGGAGGGGTTTGTTGAGAAAGGCTGGATAAATATGAGTAAGGTGCATATGCACTTTACTCATATTTATCCAGCCTTTCTCAACAAACCCCTCCTAAATCCTCTAAATACAAGCTCCCATCCCAAACATTTACATCTTATTTATATATATATATGTGTGTGTGAAATATAAGTCCATGGCAATTGCTGAATTTTGTGTTTTTTTGTATATAGATATAACTTTTAAGGCTGTTCTAATTTAAATAAAACCATCCACACAAATAAGACAGGAATAAGTTACAGAATTTACTTTATAGACTTGTGGAGTGTCATGGGAGTTCCTTTCTCTTTTTCCACTGGAGATGGTATTTTTCTTCATAAAGTGCTCTGTACAAAACAGTGATAGGGAGAGTTAATATACAAAGTCTGGAATATATTCTACTAATAATGTTTCAGAGTCCCAATGACAAATATGAGAGCAGTGCCACACGTCGCTAGATTCTATCAACCAGCGTTGCGAACAGAGGGACATGTTATATAAGAACTGAGACAAGCTAAGAATCATGAATCTTCCATAAAAGTGAATAATTTAGTGGCATGCAGTTATTTTTAAATTAAGAAGAAGAATTGCTCTATTCCTATATGCTCCATTTCAGCCTCCTATAGTGAACAGAATTTACTAGACACAAAAAGGAAGTCGCTAACAGTGGCTTGTTGTCAATCTCGAAGATAATATAATAGACTAAAATAATAGTTTGGAAAATTTTCAATATGGGTATTTCTAAAACATGGCTTCTCTTTTGAATATTCAACAAAATGAACAGTTTAGTAAAATATATTTCTAAAACAATTAACTAGTCTTTGTATTTTATTTTTTCAACTACACTTTACCTTTTAGCTAGATTTATGTAAGTTTTTTAACACCATAAAGCTCTATAAAAGAAAACCAAATATGATTTAATGATTTAATAAACTACTTATTCACATTATTTACACTTACTTGAATATCAAGTGTTGACTCTGCATTAATATGCATTACATAGAATCTCCCTTGACAAAATACAAAACCAAAATAATACTGTAGAAAAATCACAATTTTGTAATTATAGCCCCAATGATAATTATGCATTTTTTTTATTGGGGGTATATGTAAAGATATTCTGCCTGCAGTCCTTACAAGAACTCCCCTTTCAGATAGACGTTCTGTGGATGTCCATTCACAGGCTTCAAAACTCAATAAGAAGTATTTGCAAGGCAGGTACTCTAAGCTTGCTACCTCTTGAGTTTAGCTCCACTGAGCTAACCAAACCAGGAAGTAAAAGGATCATATGTCTGAATAACAGCTAGAGTGAGGTAACCAGGTTAATTTATAAAAGTGGCAATTTCTGTTAAACATCTTAACTTTTTGTAAAATGAAAAAAGAGGACACACTCTTAACACATAAAGCACTACAATGGGGGGGGGGGAGGAGAGAGGGAGCCAACCACTGACCGGGAATGGCCGCAGAGTAACAGAGCTCTCCAGCCTACCATGAGGAATGCAAAGTAATTGGGCATACACAGACAAAAAGATCCACAGCTTCACAGGGCAGCTCGGTAAGACACCGTCAGGAAAATCCAGCGCCCTCACTAAGTATTTAAGTATCTAAGTATCGCGGAACAACGAGTGAGCCAACTAGGCCCCAATATGGCACAGGACTCGTTGCACTCAGCATCCCCTCCGTCCAGCCCGGCGGAATCATACCTTAGCCAAAGGCCCGACAGGGAGCTGAGGGACATACTGAGCAACATGCCCTCTAAGCAAGACCTGGCCACTATGCTGGGGAAGTTGGAAGTATCGTTCCAAGCCGAGATGGACGCCATAGGGGCAGACATACACCACATGTTAGGCAGGGTAAGCTCCTTGGAGGATGACAATGATGTCATGTGTGCGCAAATACACACAGTCCAAGACACAATGGTTGCCCAAAATGCCCACCTGATAGTTCTCCAGTGTTCCCTCGACGACATAGACAACAGGGGGATGAGAAATAACTTAAGGATCAGGGGACTCCCTGAACAGGACTCAGAGGATGTATCTCAGATTTTTAAGGAATTGTTTAACCTCATCCTTAACAAACCACCAGACTCCCAAATAGTACTTGACCGTGCACACAGAGCTCTGAGGCCTAAGGGTATAACAGCAGACAAACCAAGAGACATTATCTGTAGGCTTCGTTACTATCAATGCAAGGAAAACATCTTAGCAGCCCTCAGACAATCCTCCCAACCCCTGCTTTTCCACAACAAGCCGATCAGCATCTACCCAGATTTGTCCTGGTTCACACTACAAGCCATGAGATCTCTCAGGCTGCTAACAGACCAACTCAGAGCCCGGAGCATCAGGTACAGATGGGGCTTCCCCTTTGCTCTCAGTATCACACATAGGCGTGCGCAGCCTATTGCATTAGCGTGTGCACCCTAAAGCACAAACACACGCCGCGTGTATATGTATGTGTGTATATATATATATATATATTTTTATACATACACATATATATATATATATATATATATATATATACACCCACATACATACACTGCTGTGTGTGTGTGTAAGGGTGCTGTGTGTGAAGGTGCTGTTAGTGTGATGTGTGTGTGAGGGTGCTGTTTGTGTGCTGTGTGCCAAACTTCACACAACACTGGCAGCGTGAATTCAATATTTCCCTCACTGACAATTAATGGAGGACCCTATTCCAAGCCACTCACAAATCGTCAATCAGCATGAGTGTCCAGGAGAGCAATTACAAAAGAATCTCTAGGTGGCACTACTCACCGAATAAATGACATCTTTCCCAACGTGGTTGACACGTGCTGGAGATGTCACCAACCTAATGGTACCACAGCCCACATATGGTAGCAGTGCCCAGACATCCAAGCAATCTGGAACAGAGTAGTAGACATGATCAAAGTAGTGACAGGGGTAAGCCTACCACTCACACTCATGACTTTGCTTTTCCTGGTCTTTCCTACCCACCTGCCCAGACCCACCAGATCCTTAATCCTCCACCTACTAACAGCAGCAAATCTATTCATACCGGCTAAATGGAAAAACGCCAACCCCTCTCCACTAGGGAGTGGATCCAAAAAAATAGAATCCATCAGGCTGATGGAGGAGATTCATGCATCCCTATATCATAAATACGACCTCTACCTAACCACTTGGAATTCCTCACCAACTCCTCAGGGTCACCTTAGGGGCAAATGCAGAGCTCAGCATTCCCACACTCAGTGTGTCCCTCACTGACCATCACAAAGCCATCAAATGATCGACTGGCCTGCTAGGCGGGATGGCGTGGTAGGGGGTTGCCATCATCAGAACAGACATTTTACCCCGAAATCACTGCTCCGATGGCTATCATTATAATGTGAATACATGACATTACACTGTGGATACATACTGTTCACTCCCTTTAAGAAGTGTTACCTAACCATGGGACACCACTGAAAGTCCCAGAATGTTTTCCCATTCCTCTCCCCGCCCCAGCGGGGTATTGTTGATTGATAACACGCGATAATGATAAGGAGTTTGCCAAATGCTATGTTAACTATGTTAACTCTTGTTATCTTTTGTTCCATAACAACTACTGAGAGACAATGAAACCAATTGTCAGTTTGATACAGATTGTAAGAACATTGTTACTCCGTCGTATATAGGCGAAGCAAATGTCCATTGTTCAAAATACAAAGAAAGGTGTAGCGCTACCTACATATATTAAACTCGGCTGAGTTTACCCAGAGAGCATTCGTCCCAAAAAGGAGGGCCAAAAAAACATGCGAAATATACCTATAAAATGAGAGAAAAACTCTAATAGTGTAACACTGTATAAAACAAACTAATATGTAAAAGATAAAACAGTCCATTGTTTTTTGTCATTTAACTATGCATATTTGAAAACGAAAAAAAAATAATGCACTTTAACAAGCTAACATGCTTTATGTGTTTGGAGTGTCCCTTTAAATAGAAATATATGTAAAGTTGTGTTTATTATGTTAAGCATTGTGAATGTACTGCTGATTTTAATGCAGGCCAGGCTGCTGTTTTTACATATGCAATTTGACATATTGCAGGGTCCCATAACAAAGCCTTCCTTGCTCTTTTCTTGACCGGAGTACTCTATGACTGGCAGATTAGCATTTGTTTCCTCTGGTAATAGAGCAGAAAACACAGTAGTTGGGTTTCAGCTTGTCACATCAATGCTAGTATTATTACGTGAATAATTTAACAAGGGAAATTTCTAAAATTGCTCCAAGTTTTTGGAAGTGTCTAAATCAGCCATCTGTTTGAATAATTATTCCACCTAATATACCAATATACCTGAATTATGTATTTTGGAGACATACTGTAGTTTAAAATAGTTTTTACCTTGTTGGTTGATTAATAAGTAACTTATCTAGTTGAGGTGAGATGAGAAGCTAATTTAGGAAAATCCTTTCTGATGACTTTTATTTCTTTTATTTTTTTATAGTTTAGTTATCTTAGTTGTAGCATTAGGACATTGACAAACCTGTCTTTCTGATGTTGTGAAATATGTCCTGATCATGCAATTGTTCTCTAAAGAGTGAATTGTGATGAATCAGCAAAGTCAAAATTCTGGGCCACAATAGATGAGCTAGAAAATGAATGATCTCTGTGCATTTCTGTAGTTTAGTTGCATCAAACACAAAATAACGTGTATGGCAGGATTTCGGTTTGGTTCTAGGTAGAGCATAGGCAAGCTTGTGAGCCAGCTACCACATGGAAGTGTTTATTATTTAGACATGTATATGTGTCTTACTAAGACAGTGTTTCTCAACTGTTTTTCAAGCTTTGAAGCTTCCACAATGTGTTGCACAATACTATTGCCAATAAATAGATAATAGGCTGCAGTCTTTAATATATGTGTATGATTTTTAATAAATTACAGCATTCAGATTTGGATTTCTCTATGGCACTAAATTAATTTCAAGTACCATAACCACATAACCACTTCTGTAGTAAGCACACTGTAAAAGTTATGAATTCAGGAGTGCCCTGGTTCCCTACCCTAATTGGCAATTACCAATTTTTACTCCATTTTGGTTTCTTCCTAATCATTTTTCA